AAAGATGATGATAAGAAGTCGAAGACACACAAAGGTGCAGAGGCAAGGAACTCAAGCAAAAATGAAACGATTTTGGTTGGTTTATGTGCACTTGAATTTATGACAGATTTTGCGGTTGTTTATTTTGAATACTATTTTTCGGCTTTCCTCTCGATAGGGTAGCATCGGTACCTCAACGTCGCCAAAGAAGTCTTTGGGGACGACTCGCTCAATCGGGACAAAAAACTCGAAGTCTTCTGTCGCAAAAGAGATCTCATTTATGTCGTACTTTGTTTCCTCCTCTTCTTCGTGTGTTGCGGGAAAGCGCAAGAAGCCCGCTCGGCTGGAGTACACGGTGGATCAGGTTTTCGTTTTGGACGATGAGGGTGAGGATGAGGTGGTTTATGTGTGGATCTACGAGGCGCCCCCCAGCCTCATAACGTGGCTCCTTGGTTTAGCAATGATTGCCGGCGTCATCGCGTGCTGTGCCTTCCCGATGTGGCCCTGGCAGGCTCGGCAAGGTGCATACTATGCCACTTTGGTCGCATTCACACTCCTTGGCTTTCTTCTCTTCCTGGCCACACTGCGCGCCTTGATGTACACCCTTCTCCTACTCCTCTCTCTTGGGCGTCTGCGTCTTTGGCTCTTCCCCAACCTCTTTGCTGACTGTGGCTTCTTTGAGTCCTTCCAACCTCTCTACACTCTCGACCGAGTGACTGTTCCTACTCCCAATTTTGTCACTGACAACACGGGAGAGAAGGAATGATGCATGATGCGGATCTCACCATCCTCTACCTCTCCCTTCATTTCCTTTCTTATCCTTCCCATGTGTGGAAATGTGTGTGTTTGTGTGCATACATAGCGGATGTCGTTGCACCGGAGGGATGTTTGATGGTTACTTTTGGCTTGCCTAGGACGGTTTCTTCTATCCTCGTTGGTTTTGATCATCAAGTCCTGGTGGCGTGGCGCTATGCCTTTAACAGTTTTTCAGCCTTTCTGTACATGAGTGTTGAAGTGCAGTCCTGACTCGAACATACAACTCAGTAGGTCTTTGTGGAGGTTTTGAGCTTCACTTTTGTGAGAACGGTGTGCAAATTGGAATGGAATGGACGATGCACTTTACCGAATGGATACAAAACTAGGGCATCACGTAACGAGGGGACCATTTGCTGTTCATGTTTGAGTCTGCAGATTCAATTGACTTGCCGTCAGATTCGTCGGTGCTTTTGGTGCTCAGTCAGATTTTGCATTTTGCAATGAGGCAGTCAACAAA